AGGGGACAGCCCAATATTTTTCTCCGTTTGTTTCCCCCTGGTCACGGTTGTTCGTCTCCCATGATTGAAACATGACGTATACCGTTCTGTGCACTCTCTCTCTCTCTCTATCTCCCTCTCGAGAGAAAGAGAGAGAAAGAGAGAGACAGAGTCCTTTCGGGCGTGTGTGTGCGTGTCGCCTTAGAAAAATATCGTATACAAAAGAAGAACGAACGGGAGCGTGGCCAAGTGTCAGGGAACAGGACGAAGCGTTCGAACGGTCTCGTGAAACAGTTATTATTTACAGATTCAACGTATGATATCCCCGAAAAATTTGCTGCACATCGGCGTCGATCATACGGGTGTACGATACGCGCGACCAAGGGGGGGGGGGGGGGGGACGAGTCGCGAGGAACAAGAGGAAGAAATCTTGGCGAGCCGCGAACAAAGAGGAGAGAATTCTTAGCGAGCCCCCTGCTCCCCCACCTGTCTATGGGACCATTACGCAACCCCCCTACCCACCCAAGATCGTAAAGATTGTTCTGTGAAATCGTCCGCGGATCGGTTAGTCGGTACTCCGCGAGGCGTTTTATTGCTTCCGGGAACCGAATCGGTGAACGACGACGGATCGCTTCGTGAGTGACGCACGAACTGAACACAGAGAGTACAGTGAAACATTGATTAGTGTTCCGAAAATTGGGCGTTCATAAATTAGATGAATATCGATTGTTAATTGGTTAAAGTACTCGGCCGTTGAGCCTCACGTTGCGTCAAGGGGAGACTCCCTTAATGTTAAGGATGAACATCGGGCGTTTATGCTGTAGTTCGTTTCGAGCAATAATCGAAGTTTTACCGTGGTTAGCTGTCCTCGTGTGTAGGTTGCTGGAGAACGTGTAAAGCAATATTCAACTGGAAGCTCGTTATAACGCCGCTCCATGGGCAGCGAGGGACCTATTTTTTTACTATTCGGTGAACGTTCGCGAAGGTAATATAGAGAGTGATTTGATAACAACGGTATTTGCTAGGTGAACAATGGTGATACGAGGCTGTGTCACTGAGAATGTGCGCGTCTCTATGATTGTCTCTGCAGCCTGGTTAACGATCGTTTAACGGCGTGTCGCCTCGCTGGACACCGAGCGTATGTCTTGGAACAGGTATCTTTAACAATCCGCATTTTAACAACTATTGCTCGAGTATAGGTAGGGGGCCTACCACCTTACCACGATGTAACAATCACAGGGCCACGAGGACTGCTCGAAGGTAGACACCTGTGTGTCCGTGCGTCACTTTCCCCCGGGCGGGTTCCGCGATTTCCAAGCGAAGCGGTAGTTGCGAGCATTACAATCTCCGGGCGTATTGCTATTCTCCATACAGCAAGCAATCCGTATTTACTCGGCCGTTTTACAGTACTATTTGGTATAATCGCTCTTGTAGCAGGAACTATTTATAGTGATGAATACGAGTTGGTCTCGCCCGCCGGTGAAAGTCTCCGCTCCGAAAACCGCCTCGTCGCGTCCTTATTAGCCGAACCGGGATCGTTTTTTTTTGCTTTCCCGTCGACTTTTAACACGTACAGTGAGGATTGTGGATTGGTCGTGTGTGGAAAGGGGTGAGTGTGGAACAAGCACCAGAAAATACACCGGTGGATGACTCTTCTTTTTCCCATGGAGCTGTCTCGGGAGGGGAGGCGGGTACACAGGTCACTAATTTTAACCAAGAAGACGAAGTGGTGCGAGGATGGGGGTCTCGAAGAAGACGCGACGGGGATCTCTCGCGCGCGAGGAAAGAGAATTTCGCCGGCACGCTCGACTGGAGTCTGGCGTTTCGCGATCGACGGACAAAGGGGGATCGACGTCAATATTTTTGCTGACGGGAGAAAGACAGAGCTAAGAAGGTTCGAGAGGAACCGTAAGGAAAGACAGAAGTGACACGTGGCGACAGCGTGGCTTAAGCGTGGATTTGAGCAGGGCGGAACGTCCGTCGAACGTACCCCGGGAGCTGTAATTGGTGATAGTCAGTCTTGTGAAAAAGAGAACAATCTCGCGCAAAATATCGGGGATGGGCAGGAGCTGGGGTGAGATCGCGCGCGGGCGCGTGTGTCTGTCTGTCTGTGTGTGTGTGTGTGTGTGTGTGGTCTTTGTACCGCGTGGTGCCGTGAACGTGTGTCACGTGTCTCGTGTCGAGGGATCGTTAAACGTGGGAGTGGGTGGGGATGATTGGTGTGTGTGTGTGTGTGTGTGTGTGTGTGTGTGTGATCGGACACCGATGTGTCCGTGGGCCTTCAACAAGGATTAATAAGTATCAACGCGCGTACCTATGACCACGAGTAAAACGATATTCTTCTAATCCGAACCATTTTGTTGAAGTAGCGCGGGCGCCGATTGCGGCGGTTGCGGCTGCAACGACTCGTGGTGATGGTGATGATGATGATGATCGATCGGCGACGGTGTCCGACTGCTCCGCGTGGTGGACAGGTCACCTCCGTTGCCACCACCACCTCCTCCACCACCGCCCCCAGGATTCCCTGGTGGTTCGAACGCCTTCTGTTCGCTGGGGGGTAGTAAGTGCACCATACTGACCGGTACGGGGAATGCGGCGGCCGCGAAATCGGGAAAGAAACCCTGCGGCAGATTACCACCGAGCAACGAATGATGTGGAAACCCGCTGTCATCGCCCGGATGCGGCGGCAAACCGGCAAGCGGATGGGTCATTTGCGTGGGCGGCTGGACGGTCTTGACGTTGTTGTTCAACGAGTTCATCATTACCTCGCCCGTGGTCGCGCCCGTGCAATCCCTCCTGAGCTGCTCGAGCTTCAGACTTTTGCCGTACTTCCCCCGTACGTACATCAGCAGGCTGTTGTACGGGATACCGAAGATCCGGCTCGCCTGAGACGTGGTCATCTTCTTGTTCCAGACGTGCTGCAACGCCTCGGTAAGTTCCGCGTTCGTCCACGACCTGGGTGGTCCGCCTCGGGGCGCGCTGTGCTGACCCTTCGGTCTACCGACGGGCAGACCCCGGCTACCGTGGTCCCCCCATCTACGAGGCGTGTCGCCGTCGCCCCTGTGCTTCTTGGGCTTCTTCACAGGATGATGACCACCGAGACCCGCCGCGCCGAACAAGCCGTGCAGCGTTTCCGGCTTAAAGCTATCGTGGAGATCCGCTAAAAGGGATCCCCTGTCGAGGGCGCCGGCGTGCGGGAACAGTCCACCGCCCAGAGACGCGACCCCGTCCAACGGGAACATGGATGCGACCGAGCTACGTCGAGGTGTCAACGGTGACTCCTGTTGCTGCTGTTGTTGCTGTTGTTGCTGCTGATACGGATGCGTTCGATTGGGCCCGTGCGGACTGCTACCTTCCCGCGGATGATGACCCTGATGCGGTGGTGGCAGTTGGTTCTGCGGATGATTTGGCAACCATTGGGCCGCTAGCTGGCCCAGACTCGTCAGGTACTCGCTGTGATGGTGCGGCGGCGTCAACGACAACGCCGACATCGCCGGCAGGCCCGCCGCAGCCGCCGCCGCCGCCGCTGCTGCCGCCGCCGCAGACGGGATGTCTTGGAGGGAACCATCGTGGTGGAGCAGACTGGTGCCGGTCAATGGTGATCCCCTTGGACTGCTTGCCGCCTCGCTGCTCTCCGCTTTCACGTGGTGTTGTTCGGTGCCGCTAGGCGACAGGGATCTCTTCATCGAGAGATTCTCCGCTATGTCCTCCTGGTGCTGTTGATTCTGCGGGATCGTCGATTGTTGTTGATGATGATGATGATGGTGGTGGTTGTGCTGTTGGTGGTGCTGTTGGTGCTGCGACTGTTGTTGGCCACCGGTCAGGTTCAAACCGCTCACTGGCGGACTTAGACTCGGTGGCGGATGAGGTCTGCTGAGATCTTGCGGCACCAGCTCGCCCGATCTCCTTCGTGGACGCGCTTGCTTCCGCCTGGGTAACAACGGCGACCCGCAGCTCTCCCGTAGCTCACGGATTCCGAAGTTCAAGTGACCCATGTGCGGTAACCTGTCCCGATGATCTCTCGCGGGATGAAATATCGTCGGCGTGGTCGCCGCCATTGGTTCCCGCGTGGACGCCGGCGCTGTGCTCTCCGACGCGTTGTCGTCCTCCTCGGGGGTGCCTTGCCTGGCGCCCTCAGGCGTCGACGGCTCGCCCAGAAGAAGATCAGCGGTTGGTGTCTCCGGCGGCGAGGCAGGCCTCGGCTCCGACGATGCCAATCCACGCACCTGTAGACTCTCCGCAGCTCTCATCAGCCCGGGCAGTTCCTCGCGACCGACGCGAACCTCGCCCCGGTACATAAAGTCGATCAGCGCTGCCACCTCGTGGCCGGGAAAGTCCTTCAACACGATCACCGGATGCTTGCAGGGGTGTTCCGCGAATATCCTTTCGAAGAACGGACTGAAACAATAAGGAATATGTCAGATTAATGGAGAAGGATAATCTTCGCATTCCGCCGTGGAATGTACAGTATCTTGTTACTGTTGTTATTGAACTATCGTATATAGGTATTGGTTGGACTATACCTTGGTAAAGAGTATATTAAACCTAAATTGTCAACGTTCCTATATAGTACATATTTTCCCGCAGCTTCGCTTGCGTGGATTTCGGGATATGGCAAAATTATTTTTAACAAAATTTCTAAATTGTATTGTTAAAAAAAGAAAAAAAATATATATATTATTGTATTTATTCTCGTATATTCGGACACCTTTTTGCCCGCTGGAGATGGAATTTCAAAAATATCCTGTAATTACTTTTCAAGCATTTGTGTAAGTATCATTTTGAAGCAACAAGCAGTGGAACATCACATCTGGATTAAGAGATACTGAGAAATCCATAGAAACACATTTTATCCCTTTTCACCCCTTTAGGTGTTGAATTTCGAACAGTCCTTTCTAAGTAGATTCGTCCTAAGAGGAAGCTATCCCCTAAACTTTCATGTTCCTAGGTTAAATAATAAGAGCTGGACGTTGATGAATCAGTCAGTCAGGACTTTTTCTTTTATATTGTATATATAGATTAATGCCAATGATACGTGAAAATTACGTATGAATTATTTATGATTACCTCTTGCTTGCGATTACAAGAATATGTTTTTATATGATCACGTTTAATAAAATAAACCCAATTCATGCGAAACAATTCCACCTTGAAGGACCAAAACCTATTACATATCGAATAAAATAAAAATAACACACTATAAGATCAAATATCTGAATCTGTGTTTTGGTTACAGTACGAACAAGTTTTCATTTGATGTTCACCACATAATGCTTTAGACTCCAGAGCATTTATTACCATAAGTAGTTGTTATTCTCTTTCTTCCAAAAGGGCACAGTCTGCACTGACATTTTACGTGTAGGATGTCACTGTTCACTCAACTGAAAACAATGTACGACTGTGACTGATAAGAGAGCAAGCTTTGTAGTTCCCGATGTGAGTGGAGGGAAAAACTCCTAGACGTTGAAGTGATCAAATGGTCAATTAACAAAATGGCAGCAACTTAACGCAAACTATACGGAAATTTTTACGTTGGTTGGCAATCTAGGGTTAATTGTGATTGGGATAGAGGAAAATATTAAAGAGCACAATCTAAGTTCGCACGCATGGCGTTTTATAATACAGTCCCCCCTTCCGCTAATCCTCTCTCTCGGTTCTTTTATTTCTTATAAGACAATTATGCTTGATTTACTCGGTCATTATCGGACACGCAACCCCTTGCGCTTAAAGCAAGAACCGAGTATGCACAATCTTTACGATGCTGAAAAGAGTTCGAACGTCGTACGAGGTACACGTGTATTTACGGATGGTTCTTAAACTTGCTGGAAACTTTCCAGTCATTTTTCTTCCGTCGTAATTGGTAACAGTCTGTCGTCGAATCTGGGGTAGTACGGAATTTCTGTATCGAAGAAAAATGTTGCTTCGCGTCGTTCTGCCGTCACAGTTGACGGGAACGGAAACGGTCTAAGCTCTGCACGGACAGAATAGTTGTCTACTATTTGTTGCACTCAGCGCATGCTCGTTCGACGTGGAGTGACCAGCCAACAGAAGAGGTTGCTGCTCGTTTTACAGACGGAATCACGGGCAAAAAAAGGGTACAGCGAGAATTAGTGTTCCCTTACGGATATCGCCAGGTAGCCGGTTCCGGATGGTACGAAACTTTCGCTGCGTTTGCGTCATACGTATCGCGTCGCAAGAAGAACATTATCGTGTTGTACTCTGAATCCAACTGACCGGTAAAACACGGAACAAGTATCGCGTAAATCGACCACGAGTGTTTTTCAATGCGAGGAGTTGCTTTTTTTAGAACGGTCATTGGTGGGGTATCGCATTGTTGGCTGGAAATTATTAGCTCGTCGCTTATGAAATGTCGGTTTCATTGATCGTTATATTTGGTTACACTTTTATGAATGAAAATCAGGGATCGAGATAAACAGTTATCTTTTTGTTTTAAAAAAAATTCCATTCGAACTTATGTGTTTTGTTCAAGAAAATATCTGTTCCTGTGGAATTTCTATGGAAATAAATATTACCCTTAGGAACTTCTTTAAAAAGTGTTCCCACGGAACAAATATTTATTTAGAAAAGCAAACATGTTATTTTAGAACGATTATTGAAAAAGGTTCCATAAGATAAACATAAGTATCAAACTATTAAGTAGTTTTATTTAACAATACAGTATCATATTATTCATATGTTCATTTAATGAAAGGTATGAAGATCATAGTATAAGCAATTAATGGTTTCATAAGAAGTACTGCACAGAAAAGAGAACTTGTCAAGAATAATACCTAAATACGATTTTTCTTGAACTTAAATGAATTGAAATACATAGAAATTCTATAATATAATATACATATAATATGTATACATATATGTGAATACTATACAACTATGTATTATTGTACTATTTAATTTTTGCTATTTAGCGTGATAGTATTATAACTATGATAGTATTATTGCATTAATATAATTATTCAATGTTGTTGTAGTCCTATTCATTGAATACTATTCAGTATCTGTTCATGTTACAGAAAACTTTTTTTTTTATATTTTACAAGTTCTATTGAAATTAAAGCTTTTATGTTCAAGAACTTTTGTTTATCTGTTCTTATAAGAACTTATAATGTGAGGACGTGTTTTAAAAAAGTCCCACGGTCCATGTTTTAAATAGAACCTCATAAAAAGTTCTACAATTTTTTCGATCCCTGATGAAAATTATTGACGATAGATACCAACTGTTCCTTAACACTTTGACTGCCACGTCACCCAAATATGGGTGACACGTACATTGCAAAGAGACTGGATTATTTTGACACAACATTTTTCCGTAAAATTAATATCGCAGTATAATTTAAGATAAGACCAATAACTTCTATTAACTAAACGCGTAAACTTTCAACGACTTATGCCTCAAAAAACGAAATAATGTGTGTCTGGTTACGTACGACCTTTTTCACTGCGGCACTCAACGTGTTCAGTCTTTAGGTACTTTTTACGAGACGCTATTTGGATTACTTAATATTATAGTATAAAGAATAAATTAACAGACGATGAATTAAGACGTAATTCGTCTAAAAATCTATTTTTGTACGTACATTTGAAAATTTTGAATCAGACATAAACATAAATTCTATGAAACTATATTTACGATTTTTGGTAAGCATTATCTTCTAACGAAAAGATTGTAATAATATTTTCGAAAAATTAGGTTTAAATTTCAAAATTTAACATACGTAGAACGTAAATTATGCTTAAAGTAAATAAAATTCGTTTCAGTTGAATAGATTGTAAAGTGCCACTGAAAAGAAAACCTAACATTTCATATGTAATGATGTAATATATTTCGGATTGCTTGTGTAAGGTAACGAAAACGTAATGGAAAGTGAGACATTCGTGTCAACAAACCCCACTTAATTCTTTTAAGAATTATTGCTTGATACATAGTGTTTATCCTAAACAATAAAATATATCGAAGATATATCCTTTGAATATTAATTCCACTGTCACGCTAATTCAAGTTTTTCTACTTCGACAGCCAGTATTACCGCCAAAATTGCTATTTCGTACATTTTTAGTGAAAGGTTGAGAAGCTGGAGAAGCTAGTACATCATTTTCAAAATGTCGGAATTTTAATGAACATTCCGTGAAAATTTTTAGAATTTTTTCGATTAGCTGCTACAAATACGTAGAACATCATTCAAGTACTTCTATTACATTCTTCGGAACTTTGGTTGATATCTGGATTACTTTATGGTAAAACATTAAATCGTTAGATTTTTTTCTTTCTCTCGTAGATAATTTACAAATTAGGTTAGTCTGTAATGCCTTTTGCATTATTATTATTATTATTATTAACGAAAAAATTTCATTTACGTGGTAATTGATCAATGATAATATAAGTGGCGCAGATTTTTCTAAAAAAATGTATTCCGTAACGAGAGTTATTTATGGACACAATCTAATATTTTAAATTTCAACCGTTGTCATAAGTATTTCATGATAAACTAGACAAAGAAATATAATGTTACAATAATAGCAGGCAGATTAATTATACATCAAGAATTTAATCGAAAGTGAGTCGTAACATTAATACAAAGATGGAACGACGAGAGAAAGAAGTGGTAGCTATGTTTTCTATTATATTAGGCTGTAATGAAGATAATCCTTGAAAAAATTATTTCATAAAAGGATTACCAAACTGCAATGAAAGGCACGAATGTATGTCAAGAAAGTATCATAGACAAATGAAACGTATGTCTCATAATGTTTTATGTTGATACTAAAAATTTTGACTTGCAAAATACAGGAACTATTGTTTTCTGTACGTCGTTAATGACTTAGAAATTTTCTGCTGACCACGTTACAATCTTTCGTATAAACAAGCGCAAATGCATTTGTTCCTTTGTTAATACTTTACTCGAATTAATTAAATACGTTTATTTCCTGATTATTCCTCCTATGACGCAACCAAAGGAATTCAATTTTAGAAGATATTCAAAACCAGATACGCTATAATTTCGGCACAGTATCGTAAATGTTTCGTTAGAGAGTGACATTTATGATGTCTAGAGCAGAGTCCAATATGACTGTTATATTGAAGTGTAAAAACGAATTCGGCAATATAACTTGGAAGAATTTGCGAGTCAAGAAACAAAATCTGTATGATTTGCAACGTAAAACGATCTTACTGCACCAGAAATCCATAATTAAAATAGTAAAAGCAGTAATGTGTGAAAAAATCTGTGTAAAAAGCGAAAACAACGTAGTAACAGAGTTAGCACGGAATGTCGAGTACAGCAGTTACTCCGGCGCCTTACACTTGAACCGGTAAACAGAATTTAGTACATCATGGTATAATTTACAATTGATATTTAAGAAAATTCTCCCGATATGTT